ATTTTTAGATAGCATAAGGTTAGGACACATATCTTGAATTTCTCATTACTTGTATTACACTATGATGTGTATCCTAATCGATGCTATATTATATATATTTATATGAGAAGCCCATAGGAGATCCCATAGACAACACAATGTTATGGCGAGTAATAAATAGCCATTAAAATTGTTATAGCCTTTAATGGTAAGAGAGATTTTAGTAGACATTTATATAGCTTTTAAAATCCATAAAAACAGGTTTAAGGCTATGAAAAGTTGGGCTGACAGAGAAATCAATTTATAATAAATATATCGTGAATACCACTAAATAGCAAAATTGATTGAAAATCTATTAACACAAACACTTATGTTGTTTTGTATTATATAATAGATAACTCTCTCTCTCTCTCTCTCTCTCTGTTTCAAAAAAATAATTTTTTGATGTATTTAGTAATCACTTTTGGGGTATTTATTATTATGATTAAATGCTCCACTATTTTCACATAATATGATACTCTTTTATCAGTTTATTAATGAAAAAATCTCTCTCATGTTTAATATATTTCATATTAAAAATAAACAAATATTAAAAAGATATCATATATTAAAACAACAACTTTTGTTTGTTGTTTGCTTTTGACTGTTGTTGTAGTTGTTGTGAATAAAATAAATTTTTAGCTAAAATAATATAATAATACTGTTATAATAATAATAATAAGTGATATTATGAATGAATCTGTAATCAGACTGCAAAATAATAGTAGATTATTACTTGGATAAGATTTAATCGCTTAAACACTCAGTCACTATACTATACTATACTATTCCTATGAATTTCCTATACCATAGTCTCTAAACATTATATATACACTAAACACAAGTGAGTGTTGATTACAATCTCAATAATATTACAAAAAAAGTTTGCTCTCGTAATAAATAAACAAAAACATATACACAGAAGTTATAGAAAGTCAATGAATGATAATATAATAGATTGAAGACATGATTATTAAATCTAAAATGAAATGAATTTTTTTTAGTTTTATAGTATAAATGACATTAATATTATTATCATTATTATATTTTACTGACATCTCGGATATATTGCTTTATTATTATTGTTGTTTAAAATAATAATAATAATATACAGATCTGATTGTCGCTGTTTTGTACATTGATAGTCATATTAATAACGGTAATATAATTTTTTTAAAAATATTTTTATGATCCAAAAAATCATTGAAAATAATAACATTATTATTTTTATTTTGGCTAAATAAAAGAGATCAAAGATTTATAGTTGAGATTATAAACTAAATGTTTAAAATAATAAAAAAATCACAAATGTTTATATTATTGTATTTATAAATTATCGTGTCTTTAAACTTCTCTATTATTATTTATATAATATAAATATAGGAATTAAAAAAAATAAATAAAACTTTTTATTTTTACAATTTCTGATGCATTCAATTTATATTATATTTAATCATTATTTATAATGTTTTGTTTTATTTTCATACTCTCTCTCTCTTTCTCTCTCTCTCTCTCTCTCTCTCTCTCTCTCTATCTCTCTCACTCACTCATGTATATTGAATGCATAATTTTTCTATTATATTATGAAATATAATATTAAAAAATTAACAAATAATGAATAATGATAATAATAATAATAAGAAAACTAATGATAATAATAATATTCAAATTATTAAGTATCAGTTAAATAAAAATAAATAAAAATAATTATTTATTTTTAATTTTTCTATTTGTATTTTAATATTAGGGTTAATGTTTTCATTTAATAATTTTAAGCAAACAATCTATGATATAGCTGTAGTATATATATGAGATACTATGGAAATATTATATTATATATATATTATAATTATTAAGAAAATATTTGAGCACTGGTATGCCATAAATGCCGATTCACATTAGTTACATAGTTGAAGTATTTTTCACGAAAAATATTTGTGGGTTTACACAACAATCACCAAAAAAATACAAACCAAAAATAAACCGACACAAAGTTAACAGTAATTTTCAAAAACTCAACTACAAAGCTGTTTATTATAATAATAAAAATGAAATACAATCATATTTTACTCGTTAAATAAAATCAATGCAATACTAATTTAATACACTAAATAAAAAAACCAAAAGAAAAAAAAATTATTGAAAGCCCGGAGCCATAAATGGTTTGTTAATAGCATATAAACAAAACATAAGAGAAAAAATATTGTAAAATAAAAACCATTGATTTAAAAGAATATATTTATTATTATAAAATACTATTTGTTAATAGTATGCTCTCTAATACATTGTATTTTTCAAATGATAATTGTGTGTTGAATGCAATTATTATAATTATGATTATTATTATCAAAATGTTTTATTTATTATTTTATACCTTATAAGCTCTCTCTCTCTCTCTCTCTCTCTCTCTCTCTCTCTCTCTCTCTCTCTCTTTAAGAATAACTAATATTTATTTAACAAATTTTATAGGATATGTACTTATTATATAAGAGAAAATAATAGTGTAATCAATGGTTTGTTTGGTTTGTTGTTTAATATTAAAACATATTTATTTTGGTATTGCATTATAAAAACACCGTACATTCAAAAAGTAAATATAATGTTGTTTTATATTTTATATTATAATAAAATGAGAGCAAAACAAAGTAACAAAAAAAATTATTTATGCAATTATTGGCAATTTTTCAAATATATATTTATAATATAATGAAAAAAACTAGGAATATAATAAGTTTTTGGTAAAATTATTCAAAATATTTTCAAATATTTTAATTGAAGTCAAATAGTTTTGTATAAAAATAGCATTTATTGCATTTATATAAATAAAGTTTATAATTGTGTCTAAAATAAATTTTAATTAATTTTATAATGAGTCATCGTAATTTTAATTTAAAATACTATATTTATATAACAAAAAAAACACTAATATATTAGATATTTTTAATATTTTAATTTTCAGTTATTTAGCAAAAAATAAAAAATAATTTGCAACTTATATCAAGCGAAAAACTATTTAATGACTTAATTTATATGAGATTTATATACAGTATTTTATATATATAGCCTGCGAACAGTCAAATCTGAACTAATAACTAGTTTTTAAATGTCATTTGAAAATTACATTTATTTTTATTAGATATAATATTTTTAATTTGCGATTTTAATGCATTTCTAATATTTTTATAAAATATTTAACTGAAAAATTAGTTTTATATATATAATATATAATTCCTATAGATTTTTTTTCAATTGACAAATCATTTTAAATCATTTATTTGAAAAAAAGATTTCAATAAAACTATTTTATCTGTATATACAGTATATATGTGTGTGTTTTTAGCCATAAGTAATAAATAATTAAAATTAATACAAAAATTAAAAGTAATAAAAAAAATTCACATTAAGTGATAATAAATATGTTATTAATTTATATTCATTTTAACTCAAGGATTTGTGTGTAATTTTCAATGACTGACAATTAATATATTTTTTTTTGGTGAAGAGTTAATAAATAAATAACAATTTTATAAATATATTAAGAGACACAACAGATCACATGAATGTTATTGAAAAATATATTTAATTTTGGCAAAAATACTACAATTTTTTTAGTTATATATATGTGTGTGAGTATTTATAATATAAGATACATTAAGGTATATTATGATATCTGTTAATAAATTTTAATAAAAGATGATAGCAAACACCATTCAATACATACGTATACGTTATTATTATTATTAAAATATTACTGTACTTTCAATATTACTTAGAATATTGAGAAAATAATATACAGTATATAAATATATTGCTATCAACAAAAAAATGTGTTCACTATTTTGAATACTAATTAAGCAAAATCTCTATAAAACTAGTGTAGTGTTGTATTTCTATATATATATATATATATATATATATATATATATATATATATATATATATATATATATAATACATATACTAGTATTTTATAAGTGTTTTTATACATTAATCTGTGTTATCTCAGGTGATATCATTTTGAAAAGAAACTCTCAAAAAGTTAAGTAAATTACTTTGAAAAATGTGACATCAATTTTAAATTAATAGCTAAATAACGTTATTTAATATAATAAAATAAAAAATAAAATAATGACTACACTATAACATCATGAGCTGACAATTTAGACATAAGAAAAATTGTTATCACTTATGCAATAAGTAAATTAAAAAAGAAATAATAATAATTATTATTATTATGATTTTTAAAAGAAAAATCACAATTAAATGCTTATTTAAAAAAAAAGTTTTATGGATTAGGGGAGGAATCTTCAACACTTGACCTAACACACACACACACACACACACACACACACACACACACACACACACACACACACACACACACASACACACACACACAGTGTTTCTCATTTGCCAACACTTTATATTTTGAAACTCTAATTTTTGCCTAATATTTAATTTTCTCGGTTTAGAGTAAGTATGTGTTGAAAAATATTAAATCAATAGTATTTTTATGCCAAACAAAAATCTTAATTTTATTTTTTTTTTTAATTTTATTTCTTTTCTGAGCCCAAGAATCTCTTCGAAGAGAGAGAAGAGGGATATATAAGACAAAAGTATTATTATATATGATTTGGTGCCTATTTTTACGGCCACTACAAGTATTTCGTGCCTTTCCTTAATGACCTGAAAGCACTTTTTCGTGCTTTCAAAAGTCGTGTATATTTTAATAAATGGCATCAAAAAAAACTTGTTGTTATATTATTGCTATGTGTTGTGTCTATCGGTTGTGCGCTAATATACACAAAAATTTTGTTTTTTATTTTATTTTGCTAAGCGTTTGGCAATAATAAGTCCATAACGTTTATATGGGATGCAAGCGTTTATAAAAGCGAGCATTGGATTGGGATGTATATGTGTGGATAGGGATAAATAAATATATATATATATATACAGTACTTTACTGTCTTTATGAGACTTACATTATGTAGTTTGTAGTATAGACCGCATGCATTGCATACGGGTTCTCCCTGATGATTACGGCGCCATAGGGTCGTAGTGGTTGTCTTACAATTGGCACAACTGGTCCCAGCGCGACGTGCAGCAGACTGTATCACATGTATGATGTTGTTGTCGTTGTCGTTGTCGTCATATGGGGTGATTGGGAACGGGAGGTCACCATTAAAGATGATGGCATAGTAGTAGAGTGTAGAAAGGAGGAAAGTGATGAGAGATAAAACATAATTTTTTTAGTAAAATATGCTTTAATTAGACGACAAAATGTGTGCTAATTTTTGTTGTTGTTGTCTCAGTATATTATGTTAAAAAAATGACTTACAAGTCGTCTCTTAGGTTTGATGAGCGGCCTATTCTGACCGTTCATCTTGTGGTAGAGCCCGCACGCGTTGCACAAGTAGTGTCCGGTGCCATCCCTGCGCCATAAGGGCGTTGATGTCGCGCCACAGTTAACGCACTCTCGACCTTCTTTGAGATCAATTGTATTGTCGAAGTTTTCGTTTGTTTGTTTGTTTGGATCAAATGATAATTATCACACCATAAAAGATTGGATATATATGGATATCATGAGATCATTGATGATAGTTTAGTTGGTTGGTTGGTTCAGAGGTAAGGAATAATATATGTGTAAAAAAAGGGAGAAAGAAAAAAAACAAATATAAGTAAAACAATGATTACAAACAATGATAATAATAATAAGTTAGAGTACACACAAAACTGATACATATATAATAACAATAATAATAACTAAAAAATAACAGTTAATATATACTATAAAATATATTCAATGCTTTAAATTATATGGTTTAGGAGCTGTTTATAAAACATATTAAATAATATATGGAGCTGTTGTTGATTTATTAAATCACATGCTATTAGTCTGTATTTGATTTTTTATTTTATTTTATTTATTTATTTATTTTTTGTTATCCTATCCCTCTATATATCCCTATCCTCTAACACTATACACGATCTGTAAAAGTGTCTGATCTCTTGGCGCTTAATAATAATAATATGATATAATTTTCATAAATAATATTCACAAAACATTAATATATAATATAATACTATAAATAATCTGATTTATATAGCCATCCATGAAATGCTTGTTTGTAATCATGGGGACAGCCAAGTTTTACACGACTCGATAGATTGTTAGTTAATAATAATAATAATATCTGTAATATTTTTTTTAATAAATAATTTGTTTTATATTTCATCTCAAAAACTAACTACTCATATCTCAATACTCTATCAAAACTATTAGAGTTGGCAACTATATTAAAAAAAGTCTGTATTTGTTTTTAAGGCCTAATTTGTTTAGTAATTTTTGGCGCAATTAATGATTACCCCTCTATTTATTATTATTATATAATATAATATCTGATTTTAAAAAACGATAATTTAAAATATAACACTAACAAAAACAGCTCTTAGTTTTTTTCTCACTCATATTATTTATAAATGTGATATAATATTATTTAAATTATACTACTAATAATATTGTAATATATTATATTTATATAATGTGTGTTATATGGTATGTTAAAGGTTACTGATAGATATTATTAGAAGTAAAAAAAATGCATTCAAAAAAGCTTATCATTGAAAACAATCAAAAGCAAAGTGCTATTATTATTATTATTTATAAATTTATAACACAATATATTGTATATCGTAATGTTATATAAAATTTACAAAAATAAACAGTAATCATAATAATAGTGATTATTATTATTAGTATATTATGGTTAGCATTAAGAGGTATTAGTTATTTAGTATAACAGTTTTTTTTGACAAATAAAGGATAGGTTTTTTTCAGGAAAATGCAAATATAAAACATAAAAAACTATAGTTTTTTTATTAATGCATAGCACATCATAATTATGATTAGAGCCTCTAATCGCCATAGCATTAGCACCAAATCCATGAGTAAAATATATGACATACCATAGAATTAGGGGATATACTGTATTGTTGGCGTTATATTATAGGGAGAAAGGTATTAGTATAATAAGCTATATTATGTATGTGTTATATATATAAAAGTCTATCTCTATTATAGTTTAAATATTAATAAGTTGTTACATGTTTTTTATGGGCAAATGATTTATGGCTTACTATTGACTCAAAATGTATAGTATTTTGGCTGTGTATACGATATTATGTATGTTATATGTATGCACACTATGATTGACTCTTATGGGATGAAACAAAACAACAAAAATGTTTTAAAATTAATGATTTATTTCTCATTAAGTGGTTTTTTAGTATTAATAATTATAATTATTAATTTTTTTTAATATACTAAAGTAGAATCCTATTAAATTAAGTTTTTATATGTATCTTTTAATTTTATGTGTTGTTTATGATTTATATATATATATATATTGCCTTTTTTGAAATAAATAAAAATATATTTAAAAATTCCAATTTTTTGTAATATAATATATACATATGCGATGACCATAATTGTAACAATTTTCCTATTTTTTGTCTGTGTAAACATATAGATAGTAAATATTGTAATAATAATAATAATATTTTGTTTTTCATATAACATTAGACTGTATTTTACATGTACTGTATTACGCCATTGATTTAGATTTAGTTAAAAAAGACATACAATTTTTTTTAATCATTTGTTGCTTCATTAATATTATTGGATGTGCAATAGTAATCGTATAGATTATAATACTGTATATATATATATAATTTTACAGTTAGTTTAGTGAAAAATTGCTTACTGTCTTTGAAAATGGGGTTATGAGACACAAATATACATATATTTATAACGTATATGCTGTATATATATAACATACCTGTGTGTGTGTGTTGTTATCTCATAAATTTTGCTAATGATAAATAAGTAATACTTGAGTTGAATTGTGTATTAGATTTATTTGTCGAGTTTATTGGGTTTGCGTGTGTGTGTGTGTGTGTGTGTGTGTGTGTGTGTGTGTGTCTTATATATATTTTTTAAAATAAAATCTAAACTTAAATTACGATATAAAAAATAAAAATAAAATTTCTAATGTGTATATAAATGTGATGTTTAACCGATATTTTTTTCTAAAACAGCATTTGATAGTATACTTTTTTTCTATGCTATGATTACTCTACTATTGTATGAAAAAAAATCATAAATATAGTATTGTTCAGCACATATACATACAAAAATAGTCAAATATATAGATAGCTATTAACTTATAAAAAATCACAGCACAGTTGGAATCAATACTAGATTTGAGATTAAATTATATTACATTAGTGGCACTGGTATTACATTTAAAAAAATGAATTTCCAACTGTTATTCTCACCATTAAATTTAATAATTAGTTTGCTTTTCAAATGACACAATTATTTGTATACTAATTACTAATAATCTTTATATATTAGACATATTTGGTTAGTTAGTGATAGTAATATTGGTTAATATATTTAGCATTAATTAGTATGCAATAAATGAGTGAATGAGTAAGTGATTAATGTGTTTGAGAGAGTGAGTGAATGAGTGTTAATAATAGCGATTAGTGTATAGTTTGTGTGTGTGTTTTGTGGTGCGCTTACCGGCGCTGGACCTTCCCTTAGTCCTCTGTTTGTTGTGCTGACCTGAGTTACCGGAGCTGTTCATGGATTTGGAGCTAAGCAATGACGATGCGCTGTGATGGGAGTGATGGCTATAACCGTATGGAGAGCCGGCATTGACAGTGCCGGACGTTGGCGATCCGACACCGCCGGAGCCGACATATGGTGAGGGATAGTAGGGATTGATTGACGACGTATGATATGAATGGTGTGCGCTCTGATTAATGCCGGGCGAGAAGTTTGCTGAACTACTCGTACCTTCTCGTGGTTTACTACTCGTGCAGTTCGTTAAGGCCGATCCCAGGGATGTGATCATATTGTGATGAGTGGCTGCGTTCACAAAATACGGCTTCATTTCACTGCCGACACCACCCGCTACTGATGACAATGTGTCCGAACCGATGCTGCACGCGATGGCCGCCTGTGAGCTACTACTGGCGCTGCCACTCGCAAAATCGTTGCCGAGTGAGTTACCGGAATGACCACCATTGGCCTGTGAACTGCCCGACGCAGAACCGCTTCCACCGGATACTGTGTCAGGTGTGGCGTCTTTCGGTGGCGTCGGAGGAAAACTGAACAAATGTGGACTAGAATGCGACTGTGCCGCCGACCCGTGTGCTGAAACGTCCATTCCCGCTGGACTCGAGTGATGGACCGCTCCCTTAGCGGCCGCACCAAACCAATTGGCACCCGACGGATGATGAGCCGGGTGAGGCACCATTGGTGACTTGCCGTCGGCTGAGATCCATGGATGCAATGGACTGGGAAAGTGTGGCCGATATACCCCACCGTTAGTCATACGAGCTATCATTTAATAAAAAGATAAATAAATAACCAATTATTAAACTGTATGTGCGATAATATATTTATTGTATATAACAGTCCAAATCTATATATTATTTCATGTCTTTTACAGCTAATAGCTTAAGGGATAGTTGACTGTATTTTATTAATTTCATGTATATAAATATAATAATTATCTTTATATAAATTATCTACATATATAAATAGATATCAATTAACAAATTTAAAATTATTTTATTGTTTTTTTTTTGTTTCTTTGTTTTGGTTTAGTGTTAAAAATTGTGTACACAAACACCCTTTTGTATGCAAACAACCAAAAAATTTGTTTAATTTATTAATCGATTGCTTTATCGATTGACTTGCAGTCAAACAAATTAATAATAAAAATTAAATTGAAACAAAATTATATTAAATTTTCTCGCATTTTGTAATAAATGCAATAAATTATGCATAGAATTAAATGTTATGCAAATACAGGATATATCTGAAAAAAAGGTTTTTATAGCAATATTTTTTAATTATCATATAAACAGATACTATAGAAATATATTTTATTACATTTATTTATGCCAATTTTCTATATAATTTTTTATTATGTAGAAAATACTTTATTAATCAACACAAATATAATATATAATATATAAATATTATTAATTAATTAGTTTATTTTAATAATTACTATGTTTTTTAAATATATCTAATATCAAGATATTCGGATATTTGGGTTTCAGAGAGAAAAAAATACAACAAAAATATTATATTAAAAGATTTATGAATTATTATTGAGTTTATGATCTTTAGCTCATTTATTGCGATATTTAAGGCATAAAATAAGTCAAAAATTTATAATATCTTTCTTTTTTGTAAAGAAAAAAATGCTATTTAATTGAGTTGATATAACTTTTCTCTCTCTCTTTCTTAAAAACTTTTTTGATCTCTAATATAGATAGCCTTCAGGGCACTGGTATTTAACGCATATACTATACTCATATTTAATATCTGAATATATACAGCACAGACATTACAAGAGAGAGAGAGAGAGAGAGAGAGAGAGAGAGAGAGAGCCGATACTCGGGAACAATGCTCCCTCCCATTCATATATAAATACAAAGTGACTTAAATAATATGTAAAACTATTAGATATCTCACAAACAGATAATGTTTTTTTGTTGTTACAAAAGATTATATTTGCAAATATAATTGATTATATAATCACAAATTAGCGGTTCATTGCCAAATGTGTAGTACTGTACTGTATTTTCTGTTATGAATATCTAAAAAATTATTTTTTTTAAATCACAACTTTTTTATGATATATCATTAATTGAAAAAATCTAGTTATTTCAACGATGAATGGGTTATTGAATGAAATAAATGTTATGATAATTAGATGATTTAACTGACGAGACTTTAGATAACAGTCCAACTCATTATACTGTATAACTAAAGCACTTATCAATGTTTTTTTGTGTAATAAATAAGATTTTAATAAATTAACAACCATTTAGTTCACCATTTATTTAGTAATATATATCTTTAAATCATTATTAATCTCTCTCTCTCTCTCTCTCTCTCTCTCTCTCTCTCTCTCTCTCTCTCTCTCTCTCTCTTGCATTACTATTATTATAATTAAATTTAATTAAATTTTATTTTAGTCTGGACTCTAATTACATAATATTGAAAATTTTGAATTTTTATAAAAAATATTTAAAATTATATCAAATGTATTTTTTTATAAATTGTATAAAATTTCAATTTTGCTTTTTGGTGTCAAATCTGGTACAATCTTACCAAATAAGTGCAAAATAACTCTATGTGTCTTAAAATTATATAAGAGATGAGACATTAGTAAAATTTTGTGGTTTTTAGGTTAAAATTTAAAGAGAGATTTGTGAAAAATTAATACTGAGTTTAGCAGACAATTTTTGAGTGAGTGAGTGAGTGAGTGAGTGAGTGAGTGAGTGAGTGAGTGAGTGAGTGAGTGAGTGATACATGAAATATATAGTATCACATCATATATATATATATGTGATGTTTAGCCGCTCACAGTATGGTGTCATACATATCGTGGTATATATGGTAAGGCATCGGCGTGTGGCCCATATTTTGCAGGCATTTCCATATTATACAAAGTACTGTATATGTAATACAGTACTAGCATTACATGACACTATGGCACTGGTCCGCTGGAAAGGGCACTGGTATTTAGAGTGTCTTAAAATAAGATACCCATTCAGTCATAATATGTTTTTGCAGTCTAATGTAACACTAAATTATTTGGGTGTAAATGTTTTGCTCAGTTATGTCTTTGCACTCGGGTTTCTGTCTTTCAATTTTTTTTTACTTTTACAAACATATAACTCGACCGGAAAATTGTAAAAATGAAAAATGTTTGAAAAGTGTGTATATATATACTATATATATAACTAACTAACTTTCCCCTATGGTGTGACACTGTTTATTCACTTAATTTTATGTCACATATGAAATGCTTTACCGTTTCTTTTTCTTTTAGTGATGACCCCTAACACCGACACATTGTTGTCGAGAGTGTAATTGAATTTTGAGAAATTTAAGACATTTTTATTTTTTTAAAAAAATAACAATTACAATAATAATAATACTTTTTCAGTTATACAGTATAGTAATAATAAAAATAATAAGATTTATTTTTCTGGTGGCAAACACAATAACTACACTTATTTGTTGATAACTAACTATCCGAGAGAAACAATTAGGATTATCCCAGTGTTCGGGCATATGGCTTGTTATATGGTGTGTGTGTGTTTGAAACAGTCAGTACTCACGATTTGAATAGTTTTGTGCATTACTACATGAGAGAGAGAGAGAGAGAGAGAGAGAGAGAGAGAGAGAGAGAGAGAGAGAGAGAGAGAGAGAGAGAGAGAGAGAGAGAGAGAGAGAGAGAGAGAGAGAGAGAGAGATGGTATATGAATCTGGTTTTTCGCAATTTCAACCAATTTTGACAGTCAGGGCGGTTAGCCTTTGGCTTTAAATGTGTTAAATCTATTGCAACTTTACGTTTGAATTATGATTTCAAATCTACCAAATTAGCACAATTGCATAGATATATCATATGTAATAACTCTTATATATATTGTATAATAAATATAATACTATATTCATTGCTATATATATTATAAATTGCTAACCAATTTAGAAAAATATATGATTCATTCACTTGTTTTATGATATAAATGTGTTTAAACAGTAGAGAGAAAAAAGCTATTTTTGTTTTGTTGCTATAACATTGAAGATATATCTATAATAATAATACTAATAAAAATAAAACATACACTCATACTGTTTAAATGTATTGGTATTATATATAATATAAATACTGTATATGAGTGACTATTTTCAAATATAAAATACATAAACACAACTCAATGTCAAGAAAATGAAATTTTTGCTCATTTTTATAGAAAATAATATCACATTTATGTATATATATATATAAAATAGATAATACTTTTACAATTCACTTATGAGATAATGCTTTTACTGTAAAATAAAAAAATCTTATGGTATCTCTCTCTCTTTCTCTCTCTCTCTCTCTCTCTTTCATAGATATAATCAACTTCTGGTGTTTTTATTTTCGGTGTTTCCCATCATATCAATGGTTAGATATCTGATCTCTCACTATATATAAGATTCTTTGCCCAGAACTATGACTTGCGATAAGAGACAAGATTTTTTGTTACTATTATACATACATTTTTTTGTTAGTACACTCTTTTTATTATAAAAATAGTGTATTATATTTGTTTTAAACTTGATTTGTTTGTTGTGTGCATAAAATAAAATTAAAAAAAACAAAATGTGTTTTGATATTACTTATGAAAATTCTGGTCCATAACTCACTTAAATTTTTTTATGTATATCTATATATGTATACAGTATATTTATGCACTAGAATATGACCAACAATCGCTAGTATAACTTATATGATATCTGTAAAATTATCTCTCTCTCTCTCTCTCTCTCTCTCTCTCTCACACACACACACACACACACACACACACACACAATCTATAATAATACAATGAAATTGATTTACACTCTCCTATGATTTGTTTGATTATATATTATATACATAACTTATATATAATACTGTATATACTAAACACAGGTATTACACAAATCAACTAAAGGTTAATTTCTGTGTCTTTTTCTCTCTATCTCTATATTTATATAACTAAATACAGTAAATAAGTTATGTAAGGCTATAGTGTTATGTTTTTTTTGATGTCAATAATAATAATAATAGCATATCTAATAAAAATAGCTATAAAATAATGAATACTTTTAGTGGTGGTGTCTGTCAAAGCCCAGGCATACTAAACATTATAACAAAACAAACACATATTCAATCACTTTGTGTATGTGTTTGTCTATGGTATGCCTTGAGCCCAGTGCTAGTCAAATAAATCTCATCTATATTTAATGATTGACCGCACTGGTAGATCATTACAGGAGAGAGAGAGAGAGAGAGAGAGAGAGAGAGAGAGAGAGAGAGCACTGTTAGTCCTGGTTAGCCCTCACCATGTAGTTTGAAGCGCTGGTGTTATATTTAATTTATGGTTGTCAGTCATACAAACAGTGCCTTAAATAGCAAATTTGATGGACATGTTAAATGGCAACACTATGTGGCCGATGGGCGCACACACACACACCACCACCACCATCACTACCCATACCCACGATACATACTGGTGCAAAACGGGCTGGCCATCAAACTTGATGCCTTTCCCCGAGACAATATTGCACTTATAATGTGTGCATAATAGCCATCAAAAAATGCAAACTACTTATGTTTTGTTATGCACACAACATAATACAATACATTGTATATATTGTTTGCTTATATACAAGTGATTTGATGGACACAAATACATGTGCCGTACGTACGCCCAGATATATACCGATGCAAAACGGCTTATAAATAGTTATTATTATTTATTATTATTTAGTCTCCTAATGTTTGACTTTTAAGCTTTTAAAATACTTTTATATTATGATTATTATTATTGCTATTATTTGTATATTTATTTGTATATACATTTTTAACTCAGTTTTTATATTCATCTCAAACACAATACACTACAATTGTTAGGTTGTATGCAAACCTCTTATATTATGTTTATAAATATATTTAGCTGTCTTATCATTATTTTACTTTGAAACATATTATTATTGCTATTTATAAAATCAATCGATTACTTAATATAAGTTTTTATTTAACTTTATACCCCTTTTAAAATATTAATAAAATAATTGAATATTATATATATATACTGTATAAACATCTATCTGTAAACTAATATCTTATTTTTATTAATGAATCTAAAGGCAACTCAATATCATAGGACAAAAATTATAGGGACTGCGGGTGTGTATTATATGTATGTGATGTGTGTGTGTTTTGTTTGGGATGTCATATATTATATAAAAAATTCAAACCTCTCTTATGTAAACTATTTTCCTGTAGCTGATCGCTGGTATTTCTGGCCATCGAGTTGGCCGAACTCATGGCATTTAGATGATGCAGATGATGATGATGTGAACTCATGGATGACATGCCGGGCGGCGGTAACAGTGTGGTCACGTGATGATGGGGTGATGAGAACACTTGGCTATTGGTGTGTCCCTGGACAACACCCGACGTCTGCATATGACCGCCCGGTGTGTCGCCAATTTGTACGTTATGGTGATGCTGGTGATGATTCTGTGCCACCAGATCTTGAAGGCTGAACTGATCCGACAGCGTGTCCATCATTATCATATGATAATCAATTGTCACTTAATATTATGAAACAACAACAAAAAAATGCAAAAAAATGCTTCACTAATAAAATTTAGTGAAAGTTTTTTTTATGTTAAGTTGAAAATTTTAAATCAATATTTGTCTCATCAAATCATTTACATTAACACATCGTGTCTTTAAATGAGATAATAACAAATCGATTGATCTTACAATCAGATTCTCTTGAAGTTTATCATTCAATATAATGGTTCACTGAATCTGATAGTCAAACAATTAATAAGATTATAATTATTATTATCGTAACTATTGTTATCACATAATAATTATAGATATAATAAGTGATACATATAATAAAACACAAGTGTCATTAAAAAACTTGTAGTCAATACACAAATAAAATATAATTTGTAAACAAATATATATATCAATCAATCAGCAAATTCTTGATAATTACAGTAAATAAAAATCGGGAGATATTTTCAGTGCACATATGATATGAATTTTTCATCAGAGATATATCGCTGCACTCAGAGATAGAGAGTGTACTGTATATATGTCTGTCTTTATATGCGCTCTGCGTGTATGTGCCGTACAAAATGTTGTGTATATCTGTGCCTACCAGTGCTTTTTCCCAAAACCAACACACTATCCTCACAGCACAGTTGACTGACTGTACGGCTTAGTTATGGTCTGTGTGCTTATCGCTTGGAGTATGGAGAGAGAGAGAGGAAACACCTACCAATTCATAGCACTGTTAACATTCATAATCTTGTCTCCAATGTTATCTGACTTGAGGTGTGGCTATCGTATCTTATGGGTTGTTCCCCTACCACGAGCTCCGGCACCAGACAAGCGCACCGACCAAAACCATTGGACTACCAGTTCGAGAGGATAGTTGTGTTTTTAAACAATTCGTTGTTCACTTATTCTCTTTCAGCTCTTTGAATATAATACAACAATTTCTTTGATTTCTTCCTAATGGATGAATGTCTGATCCATACAATAATTTCAGATTCAGATGAGAGAGTGAGACAATCGTTATTTTTTTTGTATAGAGATAATCACTATAATGATTGGTAATAACCGTTAAAAAACAGTGACCAACAAAAAATATAAAATGATTTGATCAATATGTTAATAGAAATGATGCTAATGCGATAGTGATAATCAGTTTGTAATATTTGATCGCAATATTATTATAGTTATTATGTGTATATCGATGACCCTAAATGTAGATAAAAAAAAGAAAATTTAATAAAATTATTTTTTAATAATTTTAAATTAACTTTAAAATACATATTATATTAATATTTTTAATATTAAAACTTATAATTTTTAGTGCCAGTGTATTTAATGGTTAAATATAAAAAAAACAATATTTAATATGATAATTTTTATGACAACATTATTATTATAATTATTATTATAAAAATTCAAACACATTTCACTCGTGTATTATTTAAATGCATTTTAATATTAAATAATTTTATTAATTATCTCAATTGTCAGTCTGTCTTTTATTTTATTTTAATTTTATTTTTTGCTAACCGTCCTATTAATTAATACATTGTATATAATAATTTAATGCTTAGACTTGACATCCCTTTTACACACAGTTTTACTGTATTTTAATTAAATCGATATTTTTTGCTATATTTTATATCTGACAGCACATACACATACAACCCTTTCCTCTTGTATTCTCTCTCTCATAATATACAATAAAATGTTATAATATTATATTACTAACAATAATTTAATTATAAGCCATAACTCAATACAGGGGTGCTATTAAATTGACATTAACGTTATTATTAATTAATTTTATGATATTGTTTATATAAATAAATTTAATGCAAGGGATCCAATCATTTTATCATATATTAATGTGTTTTGTTGATTCATTATAATACATATTATATTGTTTAATAGTTTGCTTAACACAAACTGTTTAATAATAATACAGATATTTTTAAAAAATACATACTCTTTTGTTTCAATCAATTTAGGTTCCCATCAATTATATTAAATAACTAAAAAATGTTATTTTAGTAAATTTTAAATTATATAACTTTGTATATTTATATATACATTATATAAACTACAAAAAATTGTTATATTAAATATATGGTTTATAATCACCAGTTTAAGGCAGATTAGAAAAAAGATACCTAAAATCGATAGAGAGATTGTTATGTATCTATGTATGTGTGTGTGTGAGTGTGTGTGTGTGTGTGTGTGTGTGTGTGTGTGTGTGTGTGTGTGTGTGTGTGTGTGTGTGAGTGAGAGAGAGAGAGAGAGAGAGAGAGAGAGAGAGAGAGAGAGAGAGAGAGAGAGAGAGAGAGAGAGAGAGAGAGGGATAGTAATGCACACATACTCATAGGCCAAACACAACAATAATGTGTCAGATATTCATCACTTATTTTTTAAAGTATTAAAAAAACTAAAGCAACTAAATAACTGATCCTCTGATCTTACTGTATGTGTTTGAGAGGCAAAAAATAAAATAGTCGGCACTAAACACACATATAAACATATATAACAATTTTCATCTCATTATATGTTACATGTATTACATAACAATTTTTGACATAATATACTGTTATATACTGTATATATATATATATGTTGTTTAATAGAATATAATAATAAAACCTTTCGCTCGAAAAAACATAATAAAAAATGAATATATATATATATATATTGTATATATAACTAAAAATAAAATAAATGCAGAACATATAGCCATTTATGTATTCAACTAATACTTACAAAACTATATAAATAATATAATAATAATAATAATAATAATAACTTAAGTAACAAACAAAAAGTCAGTGACTTTTTTCAAAACAATGGATAAATACATATAAATATTATACAACATATAAAAAAATAATATAGGAATTAAAAAATATGAATTATTACTTTTATTAATATTATTATTATATATGAGAGAGAAAATCAGATTATTATTGTTTTAATTGATTAATGAGCGATTCAGGCAATCAGATATAGTAGTTATTACACTGTTGTTAATACTGTTAATGATAACACTGTGTGAGCTGTTGTTGTTGAATATACTATTGTTATTAAAGACATTAAATGTGATATATATTCTGTATAATTGATTGTATATTATCTTAGTTTTATTTATATATTTTGTATACAGTATATACAGTATATACAGTATATACATTTATTTATTTTTAGTTTTTTTTATTAACCATAGTTTTTACGCCTATGCATTTGTATACCGTATACTGTACTACATGTATGGATATGATTTTTGATTGGGTATAATACAGTATTTTGTATAATTGGTTGTAAATACTGAAAATAATAATAAGAAGAAAAATAATTAATATTTTTAAATATTTTACGACAAACACAATAATTGCAAAAATAATTTTTCAAAAATAATATTCAATTCTTTAACTATTCAATGCTATTATAATAGTGTAAATATATCGCCCATAATATCAATGTTATTTAGCAAACAAGCCTTTGGTTTATTTATTTTATCAGTTTATGTATAATTTATGTTACAAATTATTGAAAACTAAAGATACTATAAAAAAATATTTAGCAAAACCTAAGCAAACATTTAAATTTTATATACAATTTAGTGTCTCTTATTTTCACTCGACTTTTTCAGTCTTTGTCTTTTTCAGTACTTTTTCTGAGACTTAATAACGAGTTTTGAATATCTTTCTCTCTTTCTCTTTCTCTCTATCTCTCTCTCTCTCTCTCTCTCTCTCTCTCTCTCTCTCTCTCTGAAAGTCTTTGTTTCGTTTGGATAATTATTTTAGTTATTTTTTTAGAACTCTCTCTCTTTCTCTCTCTTATGTCACTCTGTTTTGTCGTTTTGCCGAAGGGCAGAGAGAGAGAGAGAGAGAGAGAGAGAGAGAGAGAGAGAGAGAGAGAGAGAGCAACTATTATCAAAATTAAAGAAATAGTTATGTGAATGAAGTTTTATAGCGTCGTTTTGAGAGTGAAAATGCTATGACTATGACTATGACGACGACTAGAAACCATTACTACACACACACACGGCTTATATATGTATGAACTAACAGTGACGCTAAACCATAGAAATTTACGACCAATGGCTATGAAAAATAATAGTGTGTCTCAAATGGTAACCAACTAAGTATATACAAACATACAATATATATATTATATATACTATAGTTTATATATATATATATAAACACAGAGATGTGTCAGTTAGGTCTGTATGCATAATAGGAGCCACTCGGCTGTCACTATATTTTAATGTCCAAACCAAATGTCAAATACCAATAAAAACACCTATTATTTGACTGTAGGGGTAAATGGTTGAACCCAATAAATTGGACGACATTGGCGTATAACTTAACGACCAAAAAATTTATCTATATACTGTATATATATAAATAATATATGGCACATATACCCAATAAATAATTAAAAACTAAAAAAAATATTTATCTATTATTTTTTTGTCTCTCAATTTTATGCATATTTATTATACTTAAGAAAATTGTTAAACTTATAATGTCTTTGTCTATACCTATCTATACCTTATTGATGACTGCGACCAATGTTTAAAACAAAAATAATAATAATATTGTGTGATTGTTATGAGTGAATAAAAGAGAGTTAAATAACAGATAATAAATCATTTTATAAATTTAATCATATCTTGAATGGTTTAGCAATATATAATAAATAGTATAATATTGATGTTTGTTTATTTTCTCTCTATCTAAATGTTTTCACGTTAATGTTATTTTATGACAAAATGTGTTTTTAAGTCTCCAAATCACTGTCTATTACCTGCTATGCATATGTCATCTAAAATGTCATTTTAGGCAAATTTTTTGCTCTCTCTTATCTAATCTTCAATATAGTATAGACTTTTTCTCACCGAGTTTTTTTGCAAACATACACATCACAGACACACACATAGTTTAATGGTTGGCACTGATAGCACCTGAAAATGCCATTCAAATGGTTTGCTTGTCTCTCAATATTATGGGTGTCTCCACAACAATAAGTATATATATATTTATATTATATATCTACCACT